GTAAGAAACAGCTTTAGAAACGATGGCAGAGCAAGATCTGCCATCGGCTCAACGGTCCGCAAGGACTATGAGAAATAATAATAAAAACATAATTTTTTTATATACGCTAATTTAAATCGAATACTTTTATTCTAAATAAGAATACCGAGTTTGTAAACGAATGGTGACATCGTGATATACAACCTTTATTTCTGAGTATAAATTGTATTTCAGGAAACTGGACTCGTTCCGAAGCGGAAGAATTCCAAGATATTGTAGTACAAATGGGAGTTCCTAACAATCGAATAATATTAGAAAGTAAAGCAACGAATACTGGAGAAAACGTGAGATATTCACACGAAGTGATGAAACAGCGAGGGATAAATCCGAAGAAAATAATATTGGTTCAAATGCCGTATATGGAAAGAAGAACATACGCGACCTTCATGAAACAGTGGCCAGGTGATGTAACAACACTACAGGTGTCAGTGTCGTCACCCTCGATCGAGTTCCGACATTATCCGAATAGTAAAGTCGGAACCTTCAGAGATCTTATTGCTGCTTTACTTGGAATGCTAGAAAGAATCCGTAAATACCCACGGAAAGGTTGGCAAATAACGCAAGTCATTCCCGTTAATGTAATGGCAGCGTTCCAGTATCTCGTGAACACCGAGAGATATAGCGATTTCTTAGGATGAATGTTGTTTACGTTCCATAGAGTCACGTGACTCGTGAGACTGCGTTTTACAAGTAGGGTGTTGATATTCCACTTTGTGGAATATTTCGAGGAGTAATTAGTGCACTTTAAGAAATGGCTGATATAACCTGATCTCCTACCCTGAACAGAAAGCAGTATCTTGTCGTCAGGTCAACTACCCCCTGTTAGAATAACGAAAGTTTATCATACTAGGCTTATCTAACATAAACGTATTTTGCAAATATGTGCTTGACAAGCTACTTGCATTTCTGTTTCACGAGATTATTATGATTACTTAGTGCAAATATTTAGTGTTTTTCATTTTTTAGGGCAAATTGAAATAAAATTCTGTAACAAAATGAGAAGGATGTGATCATTCAGATTCGTATCAACCTAGTGACATACACAATGCTATAAAAAATCAAATAAATTTTCTAACTCAATGACTTCAGAAAAGAGAAGTGAAAGGTGTAGGGAATAATTGATTATTTAGCTTATATGGAACTCTTCCCTTGTTTTAAAGCTGGCAACGAATCTTAGTGTTAATATTAAGAAATTGCAGGAACTGTGGTTACATCATTTTGCGCTTACATTACAGAAACTCAGGTTCGCATACTTATTTCTTATTTTTTCTACACGGCAAAGAAAACTCACAAAGAAAAAGTTAAGCGTAGCACCTAAAATCAACCAGTAAAACTCACGAAGTAAAAGTTAAGCATAACACCTAAAACCAACCAGTAAAACTCACAAAGTAAAAGTTAAGCGTAGCACCTAAAATCAACAAGTAACAAAGAAAGTTAAAACAAAAACTCAATTGTTTTTATTTTAATTTGTATGTTATTTAAAAGTTTTAAAATTACGAATGGCCACTTGGCGGATTCCGTCACATACGCTCTGAATTTCGACTACATGAAATAATTGTTTTTAAAATAAAGTGTTCCTTAATTATTTTAATCATCAATTATTTCAGAAATAATGAAAAATAACAGCTTTTCAAGTATAGCGTGGTAAGTAATGGAACATTAAACAGAAAGAATAAATGTAAACATTTGTAATGTGTGACATATTTTGGTATTATATTGGCATGCTAAGTGTCTATTGCGTTAAAATTGATAAATATTAAAACGCTAGGTGGCGCTCTAGGTTAAATGAAAAGGACTATTTTTGGTTTAGTCATTACAACTTGAATTTGTTTCACGATGAAATTTACTCATAGAAATTTTATTTAGTAAAATAACTTAATATCGTTATCCTTTATAGCTTGGTCTTAATGTACTTAACGTAGGCCTAGTGATGGTTAGTGCACTCGGGGCGCAGGTTCGAATCCCATTGCCGATTATAATCGTCCTTTCAGCATTATAATGTGGCGGTAAATACAATTGTTCGGCTAGCAAGAAGCTCTAATACTTAACTTAAACTATTCATACAGTCAGTTAAGAAAATAAATACAACTGTTCGGCTAGCGAGAAGCTCTAATACTTAACTTAAACTATTCATACAGTCAGTTAAGAAAATAAATACAACTGTTCGTCTAGCGAGAAGCTCTAATACTTAACTTCAACTATTCATACAGTCAGTTAAGAAACTGACGTTTAAACGTTAATTCATGACATCCAATATGAAACCTATTAATTCCCATGATATAAACGAGCACTTCATGATTGATTAATGGTATTATACGACCTACTCATACAGATAAGTTGATGAATTAGAACCAGCTTTAGCATATGGATCTTTCATATATTCGATTGTCTGGTGGATATTTTAAGTAACTCATAGGGCGTAACGCTATGATCTGACCTATGTAAAGTAACTCGTAGGGCGTAACGTTATAATTTGACCCTTTTCAAAGTAAGTCATAGGATGTAACGCTATATTCTGACCTTTAAAAGAAAAGTAACTCATAGTACTAACGTTATGATCTGGCCTTTTTAATTAAAGTAACTCATAGGGTGTACCATTATGATCTTAACATTTTAAAGTAACTCAAAGGGCGTAACGCTATTATCTAACCTTTTTTTATATTAGCTAACAGAACGTAACGTTATGATTTGATCTTTTCGATTAATGGTAAGGGCTAACGTTATGATCTGACCTTTTTAAAGTATCTCATAGGGCGTAAAGTTATGATCTAGCCTTTTCTGAAAGTGTTGCTATTGTTATCTTAAGATCCAGAAAGCAATACTGGAGCTCTTGTTTAGTTTAGTCTAAGTCTAAAAAAAAAAGCAGGTAATGTTAGCTTATCGTTCAATTGCTTATCATATAATTGTATTCTTGCTATGTGATGTTAAACCCTAATGATTGACTTATCTTAAATTATCATACTTCCGATACTTAACTTAAATTATGTTACTTCCTGTACTTAATTTAAAATATTCTACTTCTGATACTTAACTTAGATTACTATGCTTCCGATACTTAACTTAGATTACTATACTTCCGATACTTAACTTAGATTACTATACTTCCGATACTTAACTTAGATTACTATGCTTCTGATACTTAACTTTAGATTACTATACTTCAGATACTTAACTTAGATTACTATACATCCGGTACTTAACTTAAATTATGTTACTTCCGATATTTAAATTAAATTATGTTACTTCTGATATTTATGTTAAGTTATGCCAATTCCGATATTTAAGTTAGATCAGAACTAAGGATAATTACTAATAAAAAAGCTAAAGTTATTGAAACTTTCGGTATCGAAATCATTCATATTTTTATAATTTGATCCTGAGATTATGTTATAAATAAAAATTTAATAAAGCAGTTAAGCAAGAAACCAGACAACCTTAGTCATTATTACAGAATAATCGATATAAGTACAAATATACGAGGTAATAGTTATAGAACCATTTGAAGAATTACAGAGCTATTTCACATGTAATGAAATTCCTATTTAATCTTATTCAGAAAATAAACAGGTATCAAAAAGAATAAATATTTTTTAACAATTCACTTTTATGAATTTTCTAAATCAAATCACATAAGACATTACAGAATTACTTTACCACGAACAAGAAACAATTTTGAGTATCGCCTCCCGACTGTCATACTGTCACGGATACGACTTACTGTGATATAGAACATTTTTTTAAAAATGGCTCAAGCGTAATAGTACAGAACCACGAACACGAAACAATTTTGAGTATCGCCTCCCGACTGTCATACTGTCACGGATACGACTTACTGTGATATAGAACATTTTTTTAAAAATGGCTCAAGCGTAATAGTACAGAACCACGAACACGAAACAATTTTGAGTATCGCCTCCCGACTGTCATACTGTCACGGATACGACTTACTGTGATATAGAACATTTTTTTAAAAATGGCTCAAGCGTAATAGTACAGAACCACGAACACGAAACAATTTTGAGTATCGCCTCCCGACTGTCATACTGTCACGGATACGACTTACTGTGATATAGAACATTTTTTTAAAAATGGCTCAAGCGTAATAGTACAGATACAGACCTTACAAATAATCTATGATTCAACAGTAGCATACATGGTAGTGCACTTTGTAGGAACCACATGGTAGAGCACTTTGTAGGAACAACATCCGGTATTTAGTCTTTTTGTTTCTTACATAATACTTACATACAGACCTTACAAATAATCTATGATTCAGCAGTAGCATACATGGTAGAACACTTTGTAGGAACCACATGGTAGTGCACTTTGTAGGAACCACATGGTAGAGCACTTTGTAGGAACCACATCCGGTATTTAGTCTTTTTGTTTCTTACATAATACTTACATAATTATTTATTATTTTCTGATGAATCCAGAGGTGTACGTCGATCTATAATTGGGCAGCATCCATAGAAGTTATCATTAATTTATGTCCGTAGAGTTGGGTGTTTTTTTTCCCCTAATTAAAGACAACGGTCATGGCATTGTTGCGGTGTATTATCTCTGGAACACACGAGTCCGAACTTTTTGTGAAACCTGTGAAGAACTGCTGAGTCAACGAGCCGGTATCTTTGAGTGTTTGTTCTTGTCGAGATGGAAACGAGGTCGGATTCAAAGTTCCGAGGTGTTATAAGTGTAGCAGGTGTGGATGCGATAATGATAGAATACCAGTTGCTTTAAAAGTTAGCTGTAAGAGAGGTCAGAGAATTTTCACCAGGGGAGGTGCTTTGAAGCGTCAAAAAGAGAAGTACGTCCGTGTACAGGGAGCGGTTACCTTACGGGTGTATCCAACGACTTGGCCTCAAAAGTGGATGAGAGCAACAAGAGGTGAACGAGTCAAGATCATGTAATGAAAGAAGAATACAAAGACTTTCTGAGTGAAGTGCAGGAATACTGCAAGAATAAGAGGAATAAGGAACATTAAAATAATTATCAAATATCAAGGCTATAGTGTACGGATAAAAATACAGCATGGATCCCTGGATCATGCCCTACATTGCCATATACCTCACTCTTAGGATTCTGGACTTTCAGATCTAATGGGATACTCCATCATCTACCAAAATAGTCATATTTTCTGCTACTGAGTCAGATATTGCTTGTTAAATAATACTAAATAATTGTAAGGAACTGTTGAAGAATGAAAAATGTAAGTATCAGAGCGTGGTAAAGTGCAGAAGAATACGTATACCGTATAGAATATGCCGAACTCATAAAATTCAAATACCTTTATTTTCCCGTATGTTTCAACTAATTGAAGCTTGAAACTTCGCGCAATCTGAAAATTCTGTAACTTACAGTTCCCGTTTTTAGTGAAAACATAACTAAACGCTTCGATGACTTAAATATATTCCAACCACTCGCGCTTTCGTTACACGTTTGATTGGTTGAAATGGTTATTCAAATGGGACGAACTCCTAATTAACGTGGTATTTTCTTGGGGGAGGACAATCATCCTTGCGTGAGAGATAAATGAACCAATATAGCAGGCATGCATCGCTACTTCAAACAAACGTTTGTTATATTCAAAGTAGGCTGGGCGTGGCCTAGTTGCTAGCCTTCTGTTGCCACAAAATCGTTTCGGAGCTACGGGTGCGTTATAGAAATGACGATCAAATTCTAGTATTTAATTATAGTAGCCAAAGAGTTGGCAATGGGTGATGTTGACTAGCTGCCTTCACTCTAGTAAATCTAATAAGTCTTGTTTTAACTATTGCAAATGGAAATATATAATCTCCATGAATAAATGAAGTGGACAATAGAAATTACATATTTTTTTCTTGTAAAGCTAAGTAGTTCTGTATTGGATTATTGATGTAATAGTTAAGTCATTTTCACTGACGTTGAGACAGAAACATTTGTCTTTAT